ATCGCAGCCCCCACTAGCTGCGGTTCGCCATCCCGGGCCAATGGGGGCGGCGAGAAGCAGCCCGGGTGAGCGATGCCGCATCAGCAGGTAAATAAAACTGGCCCGGCCCGCCAGGGGGCTTACCCTGGCGGGCCGCGTGCCGAACGTTGCCAACCCCTGGGCTAGGACAAATGACAGCATACTAAAATTTTAACATGAGCACTCCAGCCTTATCCAGCAAAATACCTAAGCATGTGCTTAAAGTTATTTACACGAGTAGTCCCCTCAAAGTTAATACTGCAGAGGAATGTTTGCTAAATAACTAACTAACTATCTCCCCACTGACTTTATTTATTTATTTTTATTTTTTTTAAGTTCCTGGAAACCTTTCTATTGGTCTTACTGTAGGTTTTGTAAAAGCATGTTTTTACAAACTAAGACTGTTGACCCAATCATGACTTGATTGCCTCCATCCAGCTGCCACAATTTGGAAAAACAAAACAAAACAGAATATTGATTAAGAATTTATGCAAAACTTGCAAGGCAATGCCACCTTGTGGCTATATTCTAAAACTAGTTTTAGCACAGTGGGCATTTGCTATTATGCACGTCTATTTATTCAAATATTGGAAACTTTTTAAAATTTAAATCATAGGCCCCAATCTTCCAATCAGAGAAGTGTGGCTGGACCTTTGTGCTTGCAGGGAACCCCACTGCAGTCAATGGAGTGGGCACAGGGCTAGATCCACTTAGATCACATTAAAGAATCAGGGCTTAAGTCATTAAGTGGTCTGAAAATAATGGGAGCATTTTTAAACATCTTACTGCTACCAAATGTTGTTGAAAGAGCCTATTTATTTATGATAGATCAACAGGTGTATTTGAACATGTTTAATATTTCAGTGAAAAAAAAGTCTATTCCATTCATAGTGGGCCAGATTCTCATCTGGTATAACCTGGCATAGCGCCACTGATTTTAATGTAGCTATGCTGTTTTACCAGCTGAAGATCTGGCCTAACACCTGCATTGGCATTCCTCTGAGAGGATGAATAAAAGGAAGAAATTAAAAGATTACAAAAATAAGTACAAACACCAACCAGCAGTAATAGGTTTCTAGTTCCAACCATTACATTTGAATAAAAATAGATTTATGGAAATAGCTGAAAGCAAATGCACAAATCCATACACAAAGTAAATATTACTACTGTATAAAACCTTCAAGCAACCTGCACCACCTATACCACCAGTTTAAATTGACACTGGGTAGGGATGAAAAATTTACACTGTTAAATCTGGAACAGAAAAAATATATATATAACTGAACTGAAGAACAAATAAAATACATTTAAAATCAGCATTGCAACCTCAAGAATTAGCATTCAAAAATGCCCCCCAAAATCATGAGATTTTAAAAATAATACATTTCAGTCTTTTCATTTGTTTTTCGGGTTTTTGAGCCTTTAACAGTCACTTTTTCAAGTTTTTTTCTGCAATCATGGGGGCAAGAAACTTGCTTTAAAAAAAAAAAAAGCTGAGGTTCTCACATAATCATCTGATGCCAGGAGCTGGAGCACTAAGAAAAAACACCAAATATTGCAAAATTCATGTTAAAATTGCTAGAGCTAGCAACACAAATGGCATTACAATACAGAAATTGAAGTGCGATGCAGCTTGTTTGTATGACATCTGAGCCACTTTAAAACACTGACCTCTACACAATGCAAAAGGTACAAAATGCTGTACAACAGAAGTAGTCAATCTCTACAGTATCACAGAATCTAGAAAAATAAATGATCTGTTAGGTCACTTGGTTCATCTCCGCTAACACAAAATATAAAATTCAAAGGACAGCTTGCAAGAAAAAGCACAAAAACCATCCTAAACCACCCCTGCCATTTGAATTAAGGCTCTTATTTACTATCCAATGAACCATGTTAAAATTTTCTAAAGCCTTTGGACTGTGCTTGTAATTTGTTTATAGTAGGATAACTGATTTGCTTCAGCATAAGTGAGAAGCAGTTAACGCAATATCCAAAGCATAGTGTGCCCTGCAAACTTGCTGAACAATCCCAAAGAAAATCAGTGTACAGCATAACCAGATTTTCCCTTTATACACCATTTTTACTGAGATAGGGCTTGATTAGCCACTCCCATGTGAAAGCCTGCACAAGGGGCCCGTCGAAAAGAAAATCTCCAAGTTCTCCACTCATTCTATGATGGGTTTGCCCCTGCCAAAGAGAATGCGGGGTTCACTTATGTACTACAAGTATTCCAAGCTGGCTACATTGAGGCTCTGTGCCTTTACAGCAGCTCTGCCCCATTCCTCAGCTGTAAGGCTGCATTGCAGTTTCCAGTGATGGGCCTCAACAGTAGAATAGTCTCCAAGGCTGTATTACCTGTCCTGAGCTCCATGGGGCCAGCAGGTCAACAGCACATGTTCCCGCCAGCTCACCCACGCCCTTTAAAGAACACATTACAATTTTCCTACATCACACTGCAGGGGAAGGAGTTTGTTTGCTGTGAAAGACAAAGTGTCAGCATTTCACTTTAGATCCTTGCCTTACTTCCAGATACCCTTTCTTTACTGCACATTAAGGGTCTCAGGGACAAGAAACTTAGGTTACTACCGTGGGTGATCTCCTTTATCTTAACCATCTACTTTTTTGTTTTGAAAAGGTGAATTCTGTGAGGCCAACTCAGTGGGGTGAAATGAAGCTAGAAGGCAACACAGGCTACACTACACACTGGTGTCAGCAGTGAAAAGCAAGCTGCACCCACACTGCAGTATGTAGCTACAAGTGTCAGCGAAAGACTGCAGCGTGGAAAGGCTTTCAGCAACTCTGAAAGCTTAATGTCCAGATATAGTTACATACAAAGCTGCTTATTGAATAATTAGATTTCTGATGTGTACTCCAAAGGAGGATACGATGTATGCATCTTTTCTAGATCAAGGTTATGCTAGAAGGACCCATGAGGATTCAGGCAGCCAATAATGTGTTTGGGAGAGAATGTTTACAAGTCAGATCATATTGGGAGTCAAATTCTACTCCCTTCTCTGCTTTGAGCTATGTGACCAGGGCCGGTGCTACCATTAAGGCAAACTAGGCAGTTGCCTAGGGCGCCAAGATTTGGGGGTGCCAAAAAGCAGTGCCCCCGTTTTTTTTTTTTTTTTTTTTTTTTTTACAGTATTCCTGGGCTGGGCTGCCAGCGGCACGCTGACACGTGCGGCTCAGACTCCCTCTCCCAGCACAGCGGCCGCTCCATGTAATTATTGTCATTGCCAGCAGGGGTGGCGTGCTCGGGAAGGGGGCATAGCAGAGGTGAACTGGGGTGGGGAGCCCTGCGGCAGCTCCCCCCCCCGGCCGAGGCGCACACACACCCCCCGGCAGCTTCCCCCTCCCAGCTCATCTCTGCTACGCCCCCTTCCCGAGCGTGTGGTCGCAGTCCCACTTCTCCCATGTCCCAGGCTTGCAGCGCCAATTGCCTGTTTGGAGGAGAGGGGAGGAGAATTAGAGCAGGGGCGGC